TTGTCGAAAAAAAATTTTAGGTGTTTTCGAAGAAATTTATTTTTTCTCCAAAAGTCTGTTTCTGCATTTAAAAACAATTTTTCGAAAAAGAATTTTTTTTCAGAAATAAGGCTTCAGGACCGTAGAGCTCCGGGCTGGGGACGGGAGACTGTTGCCAAACCGTTACCAGTTAGTTGCCTGGGAACGTAACGGTAACTTCCTATCCATACCGACACCCACACCTACACCCACACCCACACCCACACCCACACCCACACCCACACCCACACCCACCCACACCCACACCCACACCCACACCCAGCCACACCCACACCCACACCCCAAAATAAAAGAAAATTAACATAATATATTTATGCTTACAAATAAATAAAATGTTTACATGTTTCATATAATCTTTTAAAATCTATTTATTATAAAAATCCCATTTAAATTACATTTATTATTAAATGAGCAAAAACAGTGTACCAATATGGTCACTTTTTCTTGAAAATAACTAAAAGACAATTTAAAACTTGCATCTGTCAAAAGTCAACTGTTTGAATATCGATTTTTTTTAGAGAGGAGCTCTGAAAGTTTTCGTGTGAATTAATTATAACCAAGAAATCATTAGACGTTACCTATCGCACGAATTCTTGGTTATGAAAAATGAGGCAAAGAAATTATATATGTATTTAAAGTAAATGAATCATCAAACAATTGATTAATTTAAATGTTTTGTTAATTTATTCCATAATTCATCTTCAAGATGTACCATTGTTAATTTAACGTAAGACACATGATTATCCGATTCATCTACATGTTCAATACGAAAAATTGGTCCCATGGAAAATAAAATTTCTTCTTCATCTGGAATAAAACTTTTAATTTTTGCATATGGTGTTGATCGAATATTTGTATCAATCATCATTTCATATATTACTGATACTTCATTTGGATTTGATGTTTCACCATCACCTGAAAATACAACAGCAACTTGTTTTTCTTGTGTAGCTGATAAAAAACTATTCATTGAAATAAAACTGCCACAATTTTCTCTTATTTTATCTAATTCATTTTTTGCC